TGTGCGTGCGTGCGTGCGTGTGTGCGTGCGTGCGTGCGTACGTGTGTTGTCTCTCTTGTCTCCATTATTACTTCCATCCCTCACTGTTTCACTCATTCCTATATCGCGATTTCCCGCTCCCATCTCCTTCTTGCATAAATCCATTCCTCTCTCATGGGTTCACTTTCTCTCTCATCGCATTACGAATGCATTAGTATGAGGGAAGTACATCGACAAGCGCTCGCAATTATATGCACCGAATGCATGCAGATTCCTAAGGAGAAGAGATTAGAAAGATGGCTAGCGAGGGATGGCGCGGGCGCTCGTGAATGACGTAGGCAAGCCAGACGTGCCGTCGCATTGTTGCTTGCTATTTCAGCATCGCGCATGCGCACACCACCCGGCATCCTCCCCTGCACGTATATTATCGCTGACGTCACAAGTGAAACGCAGAACGCGGGAGCATGAAGCGGGTTTCAATTGCACTGCACTGTGATCGATAGTCTAGCGTTCATTTCAGAACATGGTAGAATTTCGTTCAATCCGTGCCATCGCGTATATAAAAATGAGCGCGCGTTCTGCGTTCGATATCATCATCATCATCATTCCGAACCAATTAATTACTACGAAGCGTCGACTCATTACAAGATATTGAAATGGATGTGATTCTTTTACGGCTCTTGGAAGTCGGAACTGAACCTAAGCTGAATTTTATACAAAACCTATAATGTCACTCAACACAATCATATTCATTGTAATGCCTTTATTCTAGACACCAACAGTAAACGCAAACGATTGTCACCGAATACAAATTACATTACAATATACGAACAAAATATCATCTTTAACGTTTAGAAATACAAATTACTGCTAGTACAAGAACGGTAGGTGTCAGCACTATCTAATAGTTCTGACACCTAACCAATGTGTGATTGGGTTGAGTATAAATACCAATATGTTGTGATCTTCGCGACCGTGGCTGCTGCGTAGTTGCTGCATTTCTCCGGGCTAGAAGTAGATACGGTCTCTTGACACGTATGTCCATATCAGAGTCAATGGCGAGATCAGTAGAAGTAGCGTTGTCTATAATATCAGGAGTCTATCAATATTTATTATTGATAAACTCCTGATAATATGGCAAGCCGTGACGCACACGGATTAATAGTGGAATCTTTATCTTGCATAGTTTGCAATAGTACTGCATATACGTTGTTGAAAGCGTACAAATATACAAACGCCGGGACCTCAAAATATATCGCAATCCGAACAGAGAACAGATTATATCATTCGCGCGTTACTTCAGATTAACATCATACATGAATCCAGTTAATAATTGACTTAGTGTGGTACTGGACAACGCATGTGCAGGACGTTATGCACGGTGGCGTATAACACATAACGTCATAATAACGACAACATAGGCTTAATCTCTGTAAATTTAATTCGTTAAGAAAATGAAAAATTCGAAAGTAGACGCATGCATTAGTTATGCATGAGCAAGCATGCCCGGATAATAAAACGACAACGACAATTTTAATAAACACATTTTTTGGGGGGGAAGGAAAATCATCAAAAGAACAAGCAGGAGAAAGGTAGAGTCGACAGGTAAACAACGAGCAGGTGAACATACACACAAGATGAAGCCATACGGCGCATGTTTTTACTCATCGATTATTTCGAACATTCTCATTTACACGATGCGAGCGCAACTTGTCATTTAGAGGATGCGTTCCTATAGTGTTCTTGCACGCTTGCGGCACCACACCGTGATCAAACGCATGCCCTGAACGCACTAGACTTGTTTCCTGACGTTATAACAGAAACAAACAGAACTCACTCTTGTTAGTTGTTCCAACGACGAAGCGAAGAGGCAGGTATGAACGCGCTAAGCGAATGAGCAAGGCTGTGGTAAGGGTGGTACCGTGGTAGGCAGGGGCTGTGGCAGGGTAGGTGGACAGGGGCTGTGGTAAGGGCGGTAGACAGGGGCTGTGGTAAGGGTGGTAGACAGGGGCTGTGGTAAGGGCGGTAGACAGGGGCTGTGGTAAGGGTGGTAGACAGGGGCTGTGGTAAGGGTGGTAGACAGGGGCTGTGGTAAGGGCGGTAGACAGGGGCTGTGGTAAGGGCGGTAGACAGGGGCTTGTGGTAAGTGGT